TTCATTTCTTTTGGTTTGACCCGTTGCTCCAGCGCGCTCGACACACATCCTTCAGGTGGTTCCTGGTTCGCTGTGAGCCACGATAAAGTTTCTCTGTCAACAACTCAGGCCTCTCTGGAACGGTGTACAAACAAGTGTGGCTCAATAACTTGGCAAAATGAAACCTTAGATCAACAGCAGGAACATTTTAGATTCATTCACTCGCAGAAAGTTATTTTATCCAAATATGTAGCATCTATGTTGTATAATACTTTATGTAAGCTGTCCTACAGGCCATTAGTGACAATGATGGACGTTTTTTCTGACCCTTTGTCTCAGAGAGCCTTTGTGTTGAAAAGCTGCCTGACGCCAACAGCAGCCACCTGATCTGCAGCCTCTATGGATGCCATCAATACAAATATTGTCACCCGTACCCATGAAGACCATACAAGCCTCTCATTATGGAACAGCTCGGCTCAAGAGGGACATACTCATCATCCTCTTGACATATTGGGGCTAACGTGGGCTCCAGGGAGAGCCAGCAGGGGGGCGTCTCTAACAAGGTCGACCGGGCGAGGACGACGACAGCTTGACAGATGAGGGCAGAGTAAGCAAAAAAAAAGGTGGGGAGGGCAAGGAGAAGAGGAGCCAAGAGGAGCCATCAGTCCTGCAGACACATCAACCTGCACTCTCTTCATGGTTTTTCCACCTCAAGGGGGAAAAACTGCTGAACTGGGTGGGATTGTAAAAAAAAAAAGAGATGTAAAGGAGTCAGGAGGGGAAACAGGAAGCTAGAATTAATAAGACAAGCATGCCAGACTGTAAACACATGATAATCTCTCCACTTGTTTATTAGGTGGATGGTATTGCAGGACACATGCCAGCTCTGCATACACCTGACCTCAGTTTCACCCCAACACTCTTCATCTGCTCCTCTTCTCCCTCACTGTACCTTCATTTCAATTTTTATTCAAGTACAACAGAAAATGAGTTTTCCACATAAACAATCTTCTTTCCTAAATTAGATTTAATATCGATTTATGCACCAAACCTGACCATCGTTCTCCTTAATCTCTGTCCTCGGCAAGAAAAACAATAGTTCAGATGCTTTAAGAGAGGGGTTGTGTGGAAAGGTTGTGACTGATTAATATCTTACCTGTTGTAGACAGCTCTTGAATCTGATAAATTTGTAGAAAGTTTAAGTCTGACCAAACGGCTTGTTTGTTTGGCTAAGAACAAAGTAGACAACTGCAGTCTTTAAACGATCAAGTTTTAATTTATTTTATTTTTTTAGGAATTCCTGCAAATGTTACTGTATAAGTCTCACAGTTTTAGTTGTTTTGATTTGTGTTCCTGTTTTAGATTTTGGTAGTGGTGGGCATGGTTCTGTTAATCAGCAAGTAGCAGAACTAATTCTTTGATTAGCAGATTTTCACTAATTTGGAAAACCGTGAGTGACCCAGATAGCTTTTGCTAAATCACGTTTTGCCAAATTTAAGTCTGCTAACAGCTAGCTAACAAACAACTCCTTGCTTCCAAAAAAATAAATAAATAAAATAAAATCGTCCAGTCAGCTTCGTATGGAGTAGGCCTTTAATGAACCCCTGACTGACAGTCGTCTTTAGCAATTAGCTGCTAGTGTTAGCTTCTGCTAATTTTTACTTGTTTAACTGGTTAGAGTTTGCTTCTGCTAACTTTTCAGTTTTTATGTTTAGCGTTAGTGAAGCTATTTTAGTTGGCAGATTATGATTATTTTCTAAGGTAACTTTTTGGTTGGCTGTAATCATTTTTCTGTAAGTCATGTCTGCCAGTTTTTGTCACTTGGTTAGTATTTTTAGTCATCTGTTTTTCTGGCATTTAAGGTTTTTTTTTTTTTTTTTTTTTTTTTGTAGCAAGTGTTTACTCCCAGTTGTTCACGCCTGTAATTCATTACTGCTCATCTCAGCTGCTCTGACTCACAAATCAACCCTCCCAGCAGAAATAATCTCCTTATTTTCTCTCATTTTGTCAAATCCTCCAATGCAGTTCTCTGTTCCGTTTATCTGATTTGTGATTTCATTTAACCGAAAACCAAAACAACTTATCTTTTTAAGGTATTTAATGTGTGGCCAGGTGACAAAGAAAATGTCTTGTTTGCTGAAGTGTTTTTTGGCTGCTGTCAGGATTTGGTAATGTGATTTCTTGTTTTGCTTCACTCTGGCTCCAATGTCAGGATCTGTTTTGGCTCATCTTCCTCACAACAGGTGACTTTGTCGTTAGATATGGAACATCGTTTCTGTTCCGCACTATTTTGGAAGCAGGATTCATCTGGATCAATCCTCAGTCAGGAGCTTTTAAAACCCGATGCAGCGGCCTCCCTGAGATGCTTCAAAATTAGTGACACACATTGTTAGCTTTTGTGCTAAAACCTTATAGTCGTGTGAAATTAGAGTCTTGCTGACATTACACGTGTGAGCGCAGGCTTCTTGGGTGTCCAGATCAGATATGGTGTCACTCATCTTCACAAATGTTCGCCTCTACTTGGAAGCACATGTAGGAGTAAGCTGAGCGCTGTCGGCCCTGTGCTGGAGTTCAGTTTGTGCCAGCAGCCTGCGTGTCTCGCTGTCCTCGTTTCTCCTGTTTTCATTCCGGCTGCTATGTGTCCTTCTGAAGTTCCAGCAGATTTGCACCTTGATCAGCATCTTGGCGTTGGCACTGTTCCTGTGGTCTGCAACATGTGTTGGTTCTCTTTTTATCCCCCCCAAGTGTCACATGAGCCTCATCCTCATCTGTTTTTTCCTTGAAAAATAAAGCAAATCCGTTTCTTTCCTCTGTACCTAAAAGCAGAGGTGTACAGTAACAAATACTTTCAATACTTTCTTACTTCATTTAAGTAGACATTTTGGCTATTTTATATTATTTTTATCAGATTTTATTTACTACTACTACTTACATTTTTATGCAAATATCTGTACTTTTCTACTCCTTTATATTTAAAAAAATGGAATGAGTAGAAAGTTGTTACTTTGGGCTTGTTATTGTAAAATAAATAAAAACCTGTCCAGATACATGGTGCCTCCTGAACTGAGTGAATTTAGTTGTGGTTGGATGAGAAGTACATACAGGGGTTAGCCAATGAAACTGAAACACCTGTCATTTTAATGTGGGAGGTTTCATTGTTAAATTGGACCAGACTGGTGGCCAATCTTCATTAATTGCACATCTCACCAGTAAGAGCAGAGTGTGAAGGTTCAATGAACAGGGTACGAGCACTGTTTTGCTCAAAATATTGCAACGCACACAACATTATGGGTGACATACCAGAGCTCAAAAGAGGACAAATTGTTGGTGCACGTCTTGCTGGAGTATCTGTGACCAAGACAGCAAGTCTTTGTGATGTATCAAGAACCACAGTATCCAGGGTAATGTCAGC